AATATATAGTACTGGGTTACCAACTGCATAATCTTGAAAACAGTAACTTAGAATATATAGTACTGGGTTACCAACTGCATAATCTTGAAAACAGTAACTTAGAATATATAGTACTGGGTTACCAACTGCATAATCTTTAAAACAGTAACTTAGAATATATATAGTACTGGGTTACCAACTGCATAATCTTGAAAACAACAACTTAGAATATATAGTGCTGGGTTACCAACTGCATAATCTTTAAAACAGTAACTTAGAATATATTGTTACGACAGCGGGGGTCACGTGACGCTTGTAACACGTCATATTCTCGAAGGTTCGTGAATCCTCGAGTGTTTACTAGATTTGCGGTATTCTTGCATATATAAGACCGCCAAGAAGTGACGGCAACAAGGTAATTGAATTGCAGACAGAGAGAGAGACTGAGGATTGAGTCGAACGCGTGAGTCGTTCGACGTAAATTATAGCGTTTGTTTAACTTAGAGCGTGACCATGGAAATTAAGTGAATTTTAAAGATTATGCAGTTGGTAACCCAGCATCAGAATATATATAGCACTGGGTTACCAACTGCATAATCTTGAAAACAACAACTTAGAATATATAGTGCTGGGTTACCAACTGCATAATCTTTAAAACAGTAACTTAGAATATATTGTACTGGGTTACAAGTTGCATGGTCATTAAAATAGTAATTTAGAAGATATAGTACTGGGTTACTAGTTACATGATGTTTAAAGCAGCAACTTACAATATTTTCAATGAATTAATTAATCAGAAACATTATAACTCCTTGTGCGTGTTTAGTTTTTCATTGCATTGATTGTAAAATACTATTGTTTTAACCTTAAAATTGTCAAAGTAATCCATGTGTGTACCCCATAAACGTTTTAAGTGCATTTTTCAAAATCTTTTTGTCCCAAATTGCATGTGTTCTGTCTCATTGTTCATTTAGCTTCCATAATAATATATTAGTACACCAGCCCTCCCAGTGGCACAGCTGCTAATGAACAGTATAAAACAAATTGGTATGTTGAGGGTTAAATATAAATTCATAACTTAGTTTTTATGAAAATGTTTGCTTATTTTATGATAAACCTCCACATAAAGTATAGAACTTGTTATAAAGGATCATGCTGTCAAGTAATCAGTCTTGATCCAGGCTTGAATCTACATACACCTGCTCACTAAACTGACCTGCGGTTAGTACTTTATAAATCATGCTAACAGAGTTTAAGTTTCCAAGCAGACAATTTTCAATCATGAACAATGTGGTATTTGTTCATTCACAACAAGACTCATTCTCAGTCTTCATTTAAAACTTCAAATCCTCAAGTCAGTAAAACAAAAACATCATTCAAAACACGAGGCCTACAACATATTCCATTTATATTTTGAAAATACAAACATACAAAAACCAGACTAACTAATGAGCCAAATATGGAGCATAGATGGTTAATTTACCATCCATTTGCTCATGTTGTCCATAAGTATGGACAACCAAAATAGCCATCTGTTTAATGTAATGTAACATTTCAGGATATTTTAATATTTGCCCTTACTAGGGGTTTGAACCAAAGAATCTCAGATCACACAACTTCTCTAGGGTCAGCACTTTACCAATTGAACCCTAAACAGATCTCTATCCAAAACTCTCAAGCCTAAACTTGTGTCAGGTATAACAAGATGTTTAAAATATACTTTGTGATGTTCAAGAGAAAACGAAACAAGTCTTGTTTGACTTCAGTGAAACATTAAAATTTCCAACGGATATTGATAGTTTTTCACTAAGATATATTCTGGTATATAGATCATTGAACTTGTCCGTATAATGTGTGTGTATATATGTGAAGTGTGTTTATGAAGTCAAATCATGTAATCAAACAAAGTTTACTCGGTAGGACCAACTAAACCACTTGCTTAATGCAATGTAAAATTTCAGGATGTTATAAAATTACAATAACTTAGAATGTATAGTACTGGGCTACCAATCACATTAACCTCTCAAAAGTGGCAGACACATTACCAGATGAAATGATATGACATGGAATTATGCAGTCCTTTTTAAATATTGAAAGCAGTCTTAGGTCTACCTTCACTGCCAATGTCCAGAAGCTAGATCTAGTTTGCTATACCAATGAGTGTCTTCCAGTGTATCCAGACATTCATATGTGAATGTTAAAGATAAGATAAAACAAATTCATTCAGTTTTTTACTCACTGGCCAGCTTCTTAATAATTTGAAGTCAAAATGGCCACTAAAGCAGTGTTGTTATCCAATGCACATTCTTACCTTTTGATATTAATAGACCATTTCAGTGATGTTTGGTCTCTCGTTGGTGAATTTCCAACTACACAAGTAATGGCAGTAATGTTTGATAAGTGCTAGAAGTGCAAGCAGTTCTTTATTTGTCGTATAATATTGGTGCTCAAGAGCATGCAACTTATAACTTGCATACTCGATTACATTCTCCATTCCAACCTGTACTTGTGAAAAAATTGTGCCAATTCCACTAGCACTTATGTTTGTATCCAGGAAAAATGAAAAATTTGACAAGGATAAGTCAGCACTGGTGTTTCGACTAAGATGTACTTCAAGGACTGTAATGCATCTTCACATTCATAGAGTATGCCATCCTTAGTCAGTTCAGATAGTGATGCAGCTATTTTGGAGAAATTGGACACATTTCATTCATAATACTAGAAAGTAACAAACTTCTCATTTGTTAGAGGTATGGGCAGTCTTTAACTGCTGTAATTTTTCTCAGTATCAGTAGTCACTCCATCAGTACAACATATGTCCCTACCAAAGTGCAATTTGACAAGGTGGACTCTCACCTGACATGCACTTTCCTAGCTTTAGTTTCAAGCCTACACCATTGTTGCACTGGAATATCATTTTCAGATTCTCAGCTATAGGTTGAAATGTACAATCAAAGACAAGTGTCATCTACTTAGACGAGCCATTTCATCCATTTCAATACTTTAAGTGTAAATTCCATTAAGTTCTCAAAATGGCAGGTACACTACAAAGAGGAAATGACGTGACATGGAATTATGCAATCCTTTTCAAATACTTAAAACAGTCTTAGATCTACCTTCATTGTCCATTTCGATTTGGTAATATCTAGAAGCCAGATCTAGTGTAGTGAACCAATGAATACCTTCCAATGCACCCAGACATTAATCTGTGCATGATAAAGATAAGGTGTCGATGCAGATAACCACATTCACCCATATGAAGTCACCTAAAGCCTTGGTATTCCCTATTTATTTTTGACAATCATCAATGGAAATGCTCAGCAGTCTCTGAAGGTTGTATGATTCCATCTTTTAAAATCCACTGAATTTCATATTGGGTAAGTCTATGCTGCAGTTTATTGGAAGTGCATCACTTGTGTCTATGTGATGATGTGTGATTGCTGTTTGACCCAGGCATCCACTTGGTGCCATAAACACATCAGCAAATTTCCTGAGCAGTTTACCAAGTTCATGTTTCTGTTTTGAATTCAGATTGTTCACACATACCTCAGCTAGAGACTTCAGATGTTTGGGAAGTTATGCATTTGTTCTTAAATACAATACAATGGCAGTAACTCTAGCAACTTACCTAGTTTGTGTCACTTCTGCCTCTATTATAATGTCCATGGCTATTCTATTTTGAAGTTAAATAGCCAAATGCCCATAGTTATAGAAGAGCAATGGTTCAACTTCTGTGCTCAGGCAGATCACTGTTTGAGCAAGTGCAGTTGGCTTTATAGACAGAAAACAGTGTTTTTCATACATTGGTTCTATAACCTAATTAGATGGTGACAGAACAATAAACTGCATCCACAGTACACTGTGGAATACTGCTTGCACATTAGGGGAATTACCATAGCATTTTCATGTACATACATACAATTCAGTGTTCTTGGGCCTAGTTTGGTTGACACTGGATGATTTTGTTGAAAAACTGCTGTTCACCTGTTAGGCAACC